AGTATTTTACTATATCTCGTTGTACCAGGCTGTTCACCCACCCTCACCCACCCTCACCCAGGTGGGTGAGTATTTTACTATATCTCATTGTACCAGGCTGCGCCACCTGCTCACCCAACTTCACCCAGATGGGTGAGTATTTTACTATATGAGGATGTACCTCCACCTCCCCCAGGGAGTATTTTACTATATCTCGTTGTACCAGGCTGCTCACCCACTTACCCAGGTGGGTGAGTATTTTGCTATATGTCATTGTACCAGGCTGGGGGAGTATTTTCCTATATACCCTTTGTTCCGCATCCGCATCCGCATCCGCATCCTGCTCACCCATGCGGTCCAAAAGTGACCTAATATACTACTAATATATTTTACATTTAAGATGTAGAAGAAACTGCTAGGGTAGCTAAAAAATTGGGTAAAATAAGGTGGGGTAGCTAAAGAAATGGTAACTCACTGAGGTAGCTACGATTGGGCAGCTAAGTATAAGACAGGTAAACCTAAGGCAGAGAATGCTAGCTTTGATACGATGGCGTAACTAGAGATCGATGCTGTTAACGTCAACAAAAACAAAACAAAAATCGATGTAAACCCCCCCCCCCCCCCCACTCAGTAAATCTGGCCTTCGTCACACCAGCAGACATTGAGACAAGTCGTCTGCCGAGCTATCACCCGCCTGCTCATAAATCTGGCGGTCTTGTATGGCCTACCACACCCAGAAACAATGTAAACAAAACAACAGTGTTTCTTCCTGCCAACTTCCCTTGTTAACGTATGATAATTTATGATAATTAGATGGAGTTAATCCCTCGCAGGACTTGACAAGGCAACTCTATAAATAAACACATCTTGAGATTTTCCGGGTTGTTGTTTTTTGTTTTTTGTTAGAAAAAAAAAGGAACGGAATGGCAATGGCGATAACTCACGCCATAAACTGGGTAGGCTACATCGATTATAAAACGATGTGGTCGAATGGTAGTACATACGACTGCTAACCCGAAAGTCTCGAATCCGGGTTCAAGTCCGTAGAATGACCCAGTGTCATCTCAGCTCTAATGGGTACCTGAGTCACCGAACACACGCCCCAGTCGTATGTCGAGGTCATCGCAACAGGTAAACTCTACTTTACTTGCCATGTGGACCGCAGAGACGTTGCGACCCATTCAGCGCCCGGGGCGACCTATCAGTTTTACGCCTCCCCCCCCTCCAATTTATGTATAGGCTATAGTTATTCATGCTGGTGAAAAAGCCCCACCTAGCTACGCCTCTGAATGGACTAGGTACGAAAGGGAACTTCACTTACTTATCGATTAGCATACACGATATATTTTTTTTACATAGCGATGACTCGGCACGACTATACAGTTTTGTAACAATTTTAGAACTACAGGATGTCTGATTTTTACCCCTCCCCCCCCCCCCCGCCCCTTCCATCTTCAACCCCACCTCCTTCCCCACCCCATCCCAAAATTTATTTGAAAAATAGACACAGCTTATCCTGTTACTAATCTATATCCAAATATTCATTCACGCGTAAAACAATTATTTTAATTTTAAAGTTTTCAAATATTTCTTTTGCCCTGAAGTGCCACTCCAATTAAAAAAAAAAACCAACCTACACTGTCATCACTTTCAAGGCCTTAATCTGTGTGTTTGAACTCTTCCCCAACCCTAAAATAAAACCTTGTTTGCGCATATCGCTACTTGCTTTATGGGTATGTTTAAGTAACCGTAACGTTCAATTGCTGTATACTTTGACAATAGTTTTAACTGTGGGGGTGAACGTTTCGTGTGGGCGAGCGCACCCAGGTTGGCAAATTTTTTTTTTATATAAAGATCAACATGCCAGGTAAGCAGACGCAAGCCAAAATTTACCGTCACTGTGTAAGTAACACCCACTGATGCACACCGTCCGTCCAAGGTCTCTCAACTTTTTTCTTAAGTACCCCGTAAATTACGTTTTATCTCAGTGTTTCGTTAGAAATCTTATTACGCCATTTACAACTTTAAAAAATCTCCAGCCACGCCAAAATTACTATATTAGAATTATATACATTTGGAAAAGCCACTACATTCACTAATACTATTTTTATCAAAAATGTGTATTACTATTACAAAAATCAAAGTATAACATCGAATAATAATAATATTATTATCAGAAATATGTATTATTATTACAAAAATCAGAGTATAATAACCTTGTTAACAGTGAGAGAAAACGTTTGAAAAAAATAATTAATTTATGAAGCTGATCATTTAATATTTCACATTTTTAAAAAGTGGGATAAACACCCAAAGGGAAACAACTAGCAGCTAAATTTCTTAAATGAATAAAAAAGTTCAAATAAATCAAGTTTGAGAAACAAGTATAATATTTATAACCATTTATTAGGTAAATAAAAATAACAAAAAATATTTGAAAGCAATAGTGCATAGTTATTGAATTTAACATTTTTTAAAATATGAATTCAACTATAATAATAACAACAGAAAAACTAACTCTTTCACTATCAAAATATATTTTAAAATTTTGTTTCAATGCCACATTACTACAATCAGCAATGTTAACAAACGCGCTTGCCACTTTACCTAGAGATAGGTAAGTGCTAGCGTCTAAAAATATTCGTTCGTTACTACAGTTGATTTTTTTGAATTAGCACACAAGTGAAACTTTAAACGCAACACGCGAAAAAGCGTACGTGTGAACTTGATTGAGAATCCTTGAGGAAAAAAAAACAATGACGGTTGAATAACACTCCCCCCTCCCCCCTTTCCTTTTATCTTGTTAGCTGGGTAAGTTTACATTCACTAGCATGTATCAAATCGTTTCATGTTTTAAAAAAAGGCTTTGCGTCATACTTTGTTTAATTTGACACCAACTAGCAGTGATTGGGGTGCACAATCCCCACATTCCTACACAAGATTGCCTTACGTGTACCATGTGAGGAGCGACGCTATTAAAGATTTTTAAACCTCAGACTTCGGCTCGTGGAAAGTGTCATTCAACACACGAGCTGTGTGTTGGGGGTGACAATTGTATCGTGGTGGTGGTGGTGGGGGGGGGGGGTGGGGAGGGGGACTCTACAGGTGGGCGAATGTGTTAGTACCGGTCAAGGTGAGAATGATCTAGACCCCTCTATGTAAATGGGGTGGAGGGATTGATCCTGAATTAGGATAAAAGCTTGGGTTCATTAATTTCAAAAATAGCTGCTGTCTAAAAAGTAGGGATTATTTAAGTAAATTAACTCCCATAGGGGAGAGTTCGTTGGGATCGTCTGCAAAAACTCACTCCACTTAGCTGAGCTTTTTTAAAAAGTATATCGGAAATATTTTTTTTAAGTATGAAAGAGAAATATGAGAACCATATATCTGTTGTTCAAATACACTTTGTCAAGTTAAAATATTGTTGTTTTTTTTTTCAACAGTAGCTTGCTGTTTGAAGGTGTATGAGATAAGCTACGGAGATATCTCTAGTGTTGTATGTTGATACAATTTCTATATCAACTATACACCTGCTGTAAAACGGTAAATTATGATAGCCATAAGATTTTGGTTAAAATGAAAGAACTGATAAAATAATATTACGGTTCTTCTTTTTTTCAAATGATAAAATTGTTTTATTTTTATATCATACTAAATACTAGCAATGTTCTCGAATTGAAAAGTAAAGCTATATTTTCATTTATATAATTCTAAAAGCAAATACCCTTGGTACAAAAATAATGAACAACCAAACTGCAATTTACATTTTTAAAATTTGTGTTAATTCTATTATAATTACAAATATTTAAATTTTTGTATAAAACGATGATGACAAAATAATCCACCTCGTTCAAGTTCATAAATTTTAATTATCTTTTTTTGTCAAATGCAATTTGACCAGGCCTGCCACGGTTATGTTCACAAATTGTTTTTACCGCCTACTCTCAGAACCCAACAAAAGGGGCTCTAAGGACAATCCCATCGAAAACAATAGGAAGTACCCACTCCAGTTTGGCCGCTCGATTCAGCGTAAATCTGGCAACAGCTGCCATTCGTCGACTTCCCGTGTTGCCGGATAGCCCGTCGCGTTCAATCGATTTGAATTCATACACCGAGTCTATCTATCGGACAGGAATCAGACGCCGTATAACAATGACTACAATGGGAGGATTTCTGACCTTTATTTCACGAAGTGGACAATTTTGTCGTGGAGGGCAGGGGGGGGGGGGGGTGGTGGTGGAGGGGAGAAGGCGGACGGGTGTACGTGGGCTACTTAACAATGAAGACATAATGTTGAGTTATGGGGGATATAAAATATTTTAACGCAGTCGTTAAAACTGTGGTTGCCCGCATCTACCGGCTAATCAGGTCATCTAAATCAATGATCAATAAATTGATCACTTTACGTTCAGTGACTTGATAGAATAGGCCAGATTGATCTGAAGATTGTGTTTTGAACATGTTTCTTCAAGGCTATGGGACTCAAGAAATACTTCCATTTGCTATGAGAAGTAACAACCAATGTTTTAATGGAAAATAATAGAATTTGACCCAAGATTTATGAAAAATGTAACACAAAGATTTAGAACATAAAAGCAACCAACTTTAACACCTTGAAATGTATAAGAATCGCCGTTTTGTTGATCTCTTCTAACAGTTTTTAGAATACTACTTAAATGTTTTAAAACATAGCCAGCGCAAACTGCGATTTTTTTAACGAATGCTGACGTTAAATTAAGAATTAAGACGGTAAGTTAAATAAAATTGAATACATTTCTTTGATTACCACGAAATCAAACGCCGGAATTACTTGCTTGCACGTAGGTAACTAAATTAAAAGTTAAATATACCACTGCTACCAGCATACCTTTCTGTATTAAGGTAACTAAATTATCAATTCGTTTAATGAACCGAAATACCTTACTATATGAAGGTAACTAATGACCAATTAGTTTAATGAACACACATACCTATCTGTATGAAGGTAACTAATGACCAATTAGTTTAATGAACACACATACCTGTCTGTGTACCGCGTGGAACACGTCGAGCGTGCTACCAAGATCTAGCCCTCGTGTTGCCGGAAGTGTGACCTCGTCTGACGTCAGACTCTCGTCAAAGACCTGAAGCTGGACCTCCAAATGGCGATCTTGCTGGGACCTGCAACATCAGACGTTTGGTCAGCCATAGCAGACGAGAACATTTCCCGCCAATAAGCCACTTGCTATGTCTAATGTCACTTGCTATATCTAGTGCCCCTTACTATGTGTAGTGTCACTGTACAAAAGGCCCGGACATTTTAATCAACCCCAGACTAAAATTTTGTGTGCCTTTCCCCCATCAAAGCCTGATGATCATCCTCAACTTGATGGAATTTCATGTGATAAATTATTTCTTTTAACATCAAAGCACTAATAAGCCCACTACTGCACCTTTCATGTGGGCCAATCGGGATTCCTTACCTAGGGACCTACCGGGATTTTTTCACCCCTGCTTGCTATACATAATGTCATTTGCTATTTCTGATTCAAACTTTCCCTATCTAATGCCACTTGCTATTCCAGATGCCACTTGCTATACCTTATTCCACTATACCTAATACCACTTGCCCTATCTAATGCCACTTGCTATACCTAATGCCACTATATCTAATACATTGCCAGATATAATGCCATACGTAAAGATTTTTAAAAAGTTAGAGCTGCCGAGATTCGTTCCCAGAACTCTGGCTTGTGTGTCACTGGCTCAACAAACTTGTCTGTCTCTCCAATTTAAGTTAAACAACCAGTATATTTAGACTCAAAAGTAGTTGATTGTTAAAACATGGTTTATAAAGTTGTTTTTCAAAATTCATTTTCGTTTTTTTTTGTGTGATTGTTTTCTCTAGATTTCGTCAATGTTTCATTAAAGCATCTCTTCGAGGGGAGGGGGGATGTGTATAGAAATTATATATTTTTACTAGTGTCCGTTTTTTAATAGTCGTCCCTTCCCCCGAACATTTCAAGTGCCCCCCTCCCCCGGGAGAACAAAATCTGAAAGAAACTCTGGATCTGGTTAACTTGCTATAGACACTTAAGTAGTCTCTAGATCTAAGTGGTTGTCTGATGGTGCGAAGACGCATTTATATTATTTTTCCCATGGTGATGTATTATTTCCATTAATACACACGTACAATGATGACTTACATAATAAAATTATTTTTAAAGTTACTTTCAACCACACTCATTATTTTGTAACACTTCACACAAGCCACAAACACAGATTCTCAACCTTAATCATGATGTAACAAAAAAACTGTATTTTATCTGAACGATTACATATGGCTTACATGAGTCTTACATAACTTACACCTCTAGAGGTGCCCTCTACACCAGCGCTTGTTTCACTACACACACACGGCGTGTGTAAGCGTCACAGATTGGAATAACAGACCTAATAAATGAGTTAATCTATCGTGTAGCCGTCGTGTCTACTTGGATGTGACAGTCGCATATCTTTAACGCTTAATATATTCACAGCCCGTTTCTCGTCCAAACATTCGCAGTCTCGTTTTGGCGCCAACCACATGCCAATGATGCTATTTATAGCTTGCAGGGTTAAATAACGATATTAATTAGACGACAGAGGATAGGTACGGAGTTTGAACGATCAATTAATTAACACTTGATTAGCCACAGCAATGCAATCTAAATGACAAGATCAATATAACGTATCTCAATGAGGGCTCTGGTTATTGCTTAATGTTAACAGCTAGTTCATTAACGTCTTTCTTATTAATATAATTAATTGTCCATATCGGTTTTTATTAACACGTTTTCCATTATTAGCTAATACAATTTTCTGTACAGTTTTTACAAGAAAAATATTTTGATAAATTTTAATATTTGCGTTTTTCTGTAAATTGTTTATCTATCTGGATTGAAAATACACTTCTGGATTTTTTAATATCATCGCTAGCAGACCAAATATTTGGTGCCCACATTTGAACTAAAAACGCCCTTTAACATAATCATTTTTTTTACTCCTACCCTGACAAGTTTTATAGTCTGTGTGTGGCTAAACTTGATATGGATTCGATCGATGTATCTTAGTGTATGTGTAATTTCTTCCCAAATGTTAAAAAGTCATACGTCATACAAAATACGCAGCCAATGTCGTCAGCATAGCACATACATGATCAGATTTTTTAAAAAGAGAACCAAACCAAAATTTAAAAGATTTATTGCGAGTTCTACAATGTCTTAAATTTTCCTTTGTAACGACTGTCGGAAGTTGATTTAATTACTTAGGAAAAAATGATTCAGAATTCAGTTTTACTTGAGCAATATTCACCAAGGGAAAGTTGAAAGTATGTATAGGTAACAGACAGTTTACGAGGGTAATGTTGTATAAACGAAGTCTAGTTAATCGGCGGGCCTTTCACAGACACGAAACGACAGCAGCAGGGGTTGATGAAATCTGGCAAATCGCCAAACCCAGATTGCAAAATAAATTACCAGGGCCTGTCGCATTACAAGTTTAAAAGTGAATTTATATCTTCTGACAAAAACGCCCCCCTCACCTTTAAACCCCCCCCCCCCCCCTCCCGAATTTTCTCGAATCTACCTGTAGTAGGCTGAAACGGGCGATGGTTGGATAGAAATGTGAACCTCCCCACCTGTCCTATAGAGTTGGTTCCACGTGATCAGACTCACTTTTCGCACCTGTATTCACACCTTTCTGTACAGGTTTCATTTCTTTGAATGCGGGTTTTTAAAATCTTCTCTAAGATGTAATCCAATTGGATAAAACGCAAATCACTTTGTGTCGAGTTTTCTGATTGGTTACAATACTTCAGGTTTAATACAATAGTTTCTAGTTAAGCCTTATAGGCCCTAGCGTACAAATACAATTAAAAAAAAAAACAGACATGTCTAAATACAGTAAACTTAAGAGTGAAGATGTTGCGTAACAACTTGATTTCGCTAATTTGAGTATCGATTGAAATCAAAGTAGGCCTATCGATAAACACGGTGATAAGTAAAAGATTGACCTTTACGGCAAGAAGTTTTTAAACTAGAGAGTTACGTTTCAACATCGAAGTTTAGAAAAAAGACAACAGAATTTGTAAAGACCCGGTTGTTTTGATATTGTTTGTTTTTAATTATTTAAAATGATCAGTATTGTATAAAGATGGGTTTTAATGCAAAGTTTTACATTTTTACGTTTCGGTAGTTAGTTCATACACATAAACGAACTCTGGTAATAAACAATTTATTAATGATTTACCGTACCCGAAAAGCTTATTGGTAAACCACAAATGGGATTAAACACACAGCCCACCTTTATAATGAAAACTCGGTCAGTAGACTGTAGATTAGACCTAACCTGCTTAAGTTTGAGGTATAACAACACTAGACTGCAGTGATCTGACAGGTACAGGGTGATCAATGATACACCAGCCAAACTACAGGTGTATCACAACTATATAGGCCCATACCTGTATATACAGGTAACATGCAGTTTGGTGCAGGGATTTAGAGGGATATAAGGACACATCCAAAATCATTGACCTTATACATGTATTATTAGGAGTACTTTTTCAAAACTTGCTAAGTCCACTTTTTGAAAAAAAAGAGTTATTCTTCTAGCCTTCTTAATTAAGTGGCAATTAAAGCTGTATACTAATTTTTGTTCAAAAGGGTATTATATAAAATAAATTTCATAACAGTAAAATATAAAAAAAAAATCATAAGGTTAGTTAACAAAAAAAAAAAGTTTTAAAGTCGATTTACTCAAAATCAGTCAGAAGTGACTTAGCAGATTTTGCAAGTGGACTTCTTCAGGTAAATATACAGGTATTTTGATATACTGTCAAATAAACAGGAATTATGTTATATGGCAATATATACAGGTATAATGATAAACGGTAGTATAACGTAAACAGTAATAAACTGTCGTGTGGGAAATATATACAGATGTTTTATATACAATCAACTATGAATAGTTGACAGATATGTTATATATGTGATATATTGTTATATACACAGATAAAATACGATATACGTACGATATGATATAGGTTACGTAAACGGTATACAATAGTATACGTCATGTAATACACACAATCTGGTGAAACTATACATGATTGGAACTCAGTTTCAAAGATATGTCACGATGACCATCAAGAATGAGACTCATCCTTCGACCTTCACCTTAACTGACCATTGACACACATCCTCTGACCCTCACCTTAACATCATATGACCATCACCTTGACTGCCCATTAAGAATGACACTCATATTTCCCGTGTACGAGAGAAAAAAACCCACTGTTCGTATCCAGCAGAAGAAAACACAAGCACACGCCCAGGTACAGTACTCACACTCAACTCACGTGCAACAGGTGATACAGACACCTGTAAATGATGCTTTATTATCGATCGCATTATGTTACATGGGGGGGGGGGTTAGGGGCTGTTAGGTTTGTGTATAACATATGTTGCTCACGAAGTTACGGCAGGTGTTTGCTGAGAGCGAATATGCCAGGAGTTAAAAGATAATTGAATAGTATCAGCTTTATAATGACATTTGAACAATGGTGGTAATATGACATTTGAGCATTTGTAACTGTATAATGGCGTTTGGATAAGTTGTAGCGCTGTGATGACATTTGAATGGAGGTAGTGATGTAATGACATTTGAATGGAGGAAGCGATGTAATGACATTTGAATGGTTTTAGCTATGTAATGACATTTGAATAATAGTATCGATGTAGCGAACTTTGAATAGCCATTCAACGGCACACTTTGGTAGCCGATGAATGAGGTAGCACAGTTGGCCGTACACTGTAGCCATGAATCATGCTAGGCATTCTGTAAACAAAGCCAGCCTAAGATAAGACTTATCAGGTAAGGATTAGGTAAGTAGTATTTAAACAGGTAGGCAGTATTGAGCTTTGACTTGTTGAAGTGGTGACGGTACACCCAGAACAGTCGTGGTCAGAAGGATTCGAACCCACCTTCGACCCACTTCTGCTTCCGATAACGACCTTCTCCAAGGGCCTTTTTTACAATGAAAGGAAAGTAATTACCCTGGACCATAAACCTAACACGCACGAGTAATCCTAGCCCTAGGCTGTGACGATAGTGGCCGTAAAAATAATAACCGTGTCAGTCTA